TGGCCGAGCTCGTGTGTCGCCTGAGATCGTTGCTCGGCGTTGCCGTTGAGGAGGACGCCGAGGTCGATGACGGGGATGCCGTCCCCACGGCATGCTCCAGCACAGTCACCGTGACCCCCCTTTGGATGGTTAGGGCAATGGCGATGAGACGGCGTCGGCATGTTGTGTGGTGGGGAAAAGGGGAGGGTTCCGGAAGACCTGCCGCGAGTTACAGGTGGATGGCTTGTGTTCCCTCCGTCCACGACAAAGACAGACGTACACGACGCAGCGGGACGGCGCCTAGCAATCCGGCGACGAGGAGGAGAGCTCCGCTGCCAGAGGCGAGGAGCACGCGCGAGGGTTCGCTGCCGCCGCCGGCCGCGGAGTGGAAGGTGACGAGCTCGACTAGGATGACCGGCGAGGCCAAGAGCCCCCTTCCGAGGGAGGAATAGAGTAGGCAGAAGCGAGCGGCGATCTCGGCGAGAGGCGCAAACCAGCGGCAGGGTCGTCAGATCGGGGAGATTTTGAGGAAGCGAGCAAGTGAAGGGGAATTTTGCCAGGAGTGAAGAGCCCGCTTGGTTCTGAAAGAAAAAGAAAAACTCGGTCTGGAGCAGACCTGGCCATATGGGCACGGCCCATGTCAGCCCTTTATAGAAGGGCCGTTCCGTGCCGGCCCAAAGGCCTAGGCTCGAGACCGGCCTGAAATCATTAATTGAGTTACAACAAGTTACACGTTGCATGTGCACCACTTGTCGCAATCTAGAAGTTTTTCTTTTTCGTAGATCCGTTTATTCAAAACATTTTATCTCTTAAACCATGCGTTCAAATCTTAAATCCATCGTTGGATTTCTTGCGTCAAGATCTTCAAAACTAGACCCACGTTAATGGGTTTTGACGAACGTTTTTTTACTAAAAAATTAGGCTCTCGCGGAATGAAAAATAAATAAAATATGTTTTTTCCCTTTTCGAGATGCACATCCATGCCTCTCACGGAAGCAAAATCGTACCTCTCGCGAAAGCAAAACCGTGCATCTCATGAAAGAAAAAACACATTTCTTTTTTCGTTTTTAAGAGGGACGACTGTGCCTCTCGCCGGAAGTAAAACCATGCCTCTCATGGAAGCAAATTATGCCTCTCGTGAAGGTAAAAAAAAACATATTTTTTTTCGTTTTCGAGAGGCACGACCATGCCTCTCACCGGAGGAAAACAAGAAAGCACACTTTTTTACCTTTTCGAGAGGCACGACCATGCCTCTCGCGAAATCAAAATCGTGCCTTTTGCGGGATGCAAAACCATACCTCTTGCGGAAGAAAAAAATATGTTTTTTTCCATTCCCGAGAGGCACGTGCCTCTCGCGGAAGCAAAACCATGCCTCCCATGGAAGGGGAAAACACGTTTTTTTTTCTTTGTTTTTGAGAGGGACGACTGTGCCTCTCGCGAAAGCAAAACTTTGCCTATCATGAAAGTAAAAAAAGAAAAGAGAAACACGTTTTTTTCGTTTTTGAGAGGCACGACCGTGCCTCTCGCGGAAGCAAAACCGTGCCTCTCATGGAAGGAAAAAAAAGAAGCGCGCTTTTTTACCTTTTCAATAGGCACGACCATGCCTCTCGTGAAAACAAACCTCTCGCAGGATGCAAAACCGTACCTCTTGCAGAAGAAAAAAAACACGCTTTTTCCCGTTCCCGAGAAGCACGTGCTTCCCACAGAAGCAAAACCGTGCCTCTTGCAGAAGCAAACAAAAACACATTTTTCTCAAAAAATAAAAATTGACAAAATTCCCCCGCCCAAAAGCTAAGAAAGACCGGTGGAAAACCAAAAAAGAACATCTAAAAAGCCAAAAACACGTGCGGAGAAATAAAAATATCAAAATTCAAAGAAAACACCCAAAGCGTGACACATGACGATGGTTGAGAGCGCGCCAAGTGGCGCGCTCTTAGGCCACCCCAAGCGATCGTTGGGAGGTTCCCGGAGGAGTGATCCTTAACTAGCTGCTCTCGAACTGGCCCGGTACGCTAGCTATGGATCGGCACATGTTAAAAAGGGTGAAATAGCCCTCAAAAGGCCCTAACATGCCAAAAGAGCTCTAAAATATTTAAAATTTCAGGTTAAAAAGGCCAAACGGCCCTAAAAGGGACAAACGGTGTTAAAAGGGTCGTGCTCCAAAGCTTTGATGAGTCATGTCATGGCAAAGTGCAATATTTAAATACTACACATTAAGTGAAGTTCAATATGCAACGAGTTGCATATTTAGTTCACTCCTGTTTATGCTATTCATAAATATTAAAATGTTGTTAAACATGACAATAGGTGAAGCATAAGTAGACTACATATCTAGGCAATTTAAATAAGGTCGTAAACAACACATAACAATTTCAAAAAATCCTCATATGCAAATTTCAAATTTGGTATTGTTTTGTCCTAGAACATATTTTATTATTATTAAACATGGTGTTATTCTAAACATTTTTCTAGTCAATTTAAGTATGTAATTTATTTAATTCATAGCTATGTTGTTTAGTTATGAAATAAACCATATTTAGCAAGTTGTTTAGGAAAAAGAAAAGAAAAGACCGGTTCGTTCTTCTTGTAATATTCCGCACAGCAGCATATGGTAGAGCTTTGAATCTCCTGCTGCTCGTGTGGCTCCTTGGAGCGAATACTAGGATCGACAAGTGCTCACCTCACTACATGAAGATTACTTTGTTGGACCGGGCATAGCTAACCTCTTCATCTTTGTTCCAACACGAAGTTTCCTTGTTTTCGATGCATACCATTCGCTACCAAATGAAAATATTTTTTGTGTTGTCTCCCTCAAGCAGGTTTTGTCACTGGCTATTTGATAGTACAATTTTGTTCCTTTTCATGTCGGAGATGAGCTAAGCGCTTATGCCATCATGCCATCATGCATAAGGCGTTCATCCGACAAAACCGCGGCCTCTGATGCTCTTTTGTCATCGATTAGTTGTCAATAATTTTCAAGAGTTTTTGTTTTTCTTCATCTCCTAAGCGCTCATCGGCATCATGGTTAAGGGTTAAGGTCTACATCGTCATGTGAGAAGACCGTGACCTCTGATCTTGTTTTCCTCGTGACTGTCTTAGACGTCGTACCCTGGCTTGCCATTTTGCCACTGGGAAGTCCCATGTCGCTCCTGGACACAGCATTGGGGCACCATGTCAAAGGAACCTTTCTCGTGAGGCAGTCTAACTCGAATTTGTGAACTGTTTACCGGCCATGTCTCCGGCGTCCGGCCCCGCCTCGTTTGCTTGCCAGCTTTGACCTCGGAGTCGTTCCACAAACAAGTTATGCCCACAACACAGCCAGATTTGGTATTATCAACAACATAAGGTCAACTCCACCGCGCGATCCTATCCTGTCCGTCTCATCTGTTTGGGGTAAAAGGGACAAACGAGACGGCCCAGCGCGCGGGCGCAAACGGATTTTTGTCCGTTTTGTGTCCGTTTTTGATCCATCCGCGGCCCAAGTTTGCGCCGTTTTTGGGGTGAAACGGACACCACACGGACGCGCGGGTCGTCTGCGCGTGTCCTTCCCTGGCCGCCCGTCGGTGGCACATGACGGGCCTTTTTCTATCCGCCCCCCTCCCTCCCTCCGGCCGCATCCACTCCACTCTTCCCCACTCTCCCCCTCTCTTCCCCTCACCGCCGCCGCCCGCCCGCCCGCTGCCATTGCAGCCGTGCAACTCGGACGCGCGCTTGCCCAGCCCCTTCCTGTCGTCGCCGCCGAGCTACCCAAGCACGGCCACCTTGTTTGCGCACCCGCCGGCCGGATTTGGGGCGGATCCGGTCGGTCTTGAGCTCGCCCGGCTGTGGGAGGCCGGGCCGCGCCATGGACTGGCCGGGCACCTTGCCGGAAGGCCCTGGCAGGGCCGCAAGGCCACATGCAGGCAGTGGCTCGTCCTCTAGCCGCTCGGATCTGCACCGTCGGTGGTCCGCCGGCAGATACGCGAATGGCGGCCGGCCGGGCTCGGTGCTTGCCCAAAAGCTCGTCGGCGCACTGTTGCCCCTCATCAAGTGCGACCACTGCCCAAAGGTGGTCGTGCGACGCGTGTCTACGACGCCGGAGCATCCCGGATGTGTGTTCATCAAGTGCTTAAACGATGGGGTATGTGCTCTTTTTAGCTTCAGTTTGTGCTCTTCGATTAGACTAATGGTGCTAACTTTAAGTTTTATTGTGTAGAACGGATGCAAGTTTTGGTATTGGGAAGAAGAGTACATCGATATGTTGATAGAGCAAAATGTAGTGCATGTTCGTGCACTTTTAGCTAGCCTAGAGGCTTTAGATGAGACAAGTGCACTTGTTGCTAGATTAGAGGTTAGGCACGATACTACGTGCGAAGAAGCAACAAGGCACGATACTACGTGTGAGGAAGCAACGTCGATTTCTGGCTTGAAGAAGAAAGGAGGGTGCAACGTCGTGCCTCCTCCACAGATCAACAATGAGTGCATCAAGAAGGCCCTAACCCAACTCAAGGGAACAGTTATGGAAGTTAGGTATCTTCTCAAATATATTTTTGTGGTTCTTGTTTTCTTTGGTCTTGCTTTACTAGTCAAAATATGATGATGTATTTTTCATGTACGTACCACAAATGAATGATGAAATAAAGTTGGACTTGCAAAGAAATATACGCGGACAGGATGGGGCAAATGGATGCGGCCGTGCGCTGGGCTCACAGCCACCGTATCCCAGAACAGGCCCGGACACTACCCCAAATTCCTACCCAAACGGACAGAGTCTGGACAAAACGGACGTCCGTTTAGGGTTGCGCGGTGGAGTTGGCCTAAGTACTATCACCCGTACGTTGCAGGCAGTCTCCAAGGTCTTGGCCTGCAGGTCGTCACCTCTTGACTTTCGAGTTTTGATGAGTTTGACACGCTATAAAAAGGCTAGAGGGCTAACCTTCTCATCACCACAGCACCACCAAAGCAAAGCTTAACAAGCAGCTAGCCACTAATCCGCTTATCATTCCTGCCTTCGCGTGGATCGCCATTCACCAACGTCTGCAATGGCCAGCCACGGAGTAGCCACTCTCCTGATCGCGTCCCTTCTCGTGGTGGCGGTCACCCTCGCCGACGCCAGGGTCGCCGTGCAGGTGCGCCGCGACCTGAACGAAGGTACGTGTCCATATGGTAGCATACGTGATAACCGTACCGTACTACTGCAACTATATCTTTGATCTGGACTCTGACTCCGGGAACGTGCGTGCGTGCGTGCGGTCGCGCTGCCGCAGGTCACGTGGTGCCGGCGAGCGACGCGAAGGCGGTGGCGGCGCTGACGTGCAGCAAGGTGCAGGGGCTGAAGGCGGGCGAGACGTGCTTCTCCGTCGCGCTGCTCGGAGGCCTGACCCTGGAGTCGTTCCTCGTCTTCAACCCCAACATCGACTGCGGCAAGACCTTCGTCGGCCAGTGGGTCTGCCTCCGCGCCACCACTGCTTGACCAGCTGCAGCACGTACGCACCCGTGCACCGATCGCCGCTAGCGCCTATCGGTATGAATCGAGCCGCCGGGTGCTCTCCTGCTTGTAGTACTTCCTTTGTAAAGTGTGCTTGCTGCTTGCTCCTTTTTGTTTGTCTGAGAGATATTGCTTGGTGTTATCTGGTGTGAAGTAGCCCGTCGGTGTGTGTTTGTTGTACCAGCTGATCGTGCCTGATTATCAGTGTATTTCCCTTGCTTCTTTTCCTCAATTCGTCCGTGTGCTGCGGTAATGTGGGAGCCGGTCTCCAAATTACCATCGTTGCACCTAGGTTTTATCGTAACCGAACTGTTGACTCATTAACGACTAGCTGCAAACAAGAAACTTGGCATAGCTGGGCAAAGAATTTAAACAGGGGGGTTATTCAAAAATTGCGGAAGCTTAGTTTGATCAAACTGGCCGAGTATTTCAAACAAGCTATGGCACTTACTCCGTGAAACTATATTGAAGCTAATAATTGGGTGAAGATTACGCGCTTTGAATTTGAATAGGACTATGCTCCTTCTTTTTCATAAAATGGATTCTTTGGTTGTTGATTCTTAATCAAATAAATTATGTCGCAAGATCGAACCAAGAATTTCATTATATCCATTTCTTATACCTTCTATTCTATATGATACTACTTCATAAGAATAAACCCGGGGAGACTATAATAGAATTTGCCCTTTAGCTGAGCTCATAGGATCAGCCCAAAATATTTCTATTTAAACAATCTGAAAAATTCTGGAATTATTTGACAACATAGCTATAATTATGTATACAACTCCAAAAAAAAAAAACCAGCTGAAAACTTGATTAAAAAATAACTGAAAGTGGATCTAACCCTCAAGGTGGATTTTGATAATTAATGTCAACATATCTCAAAGAACTAATGCTACTTCAAAGTATATTTCAGAAAAAGTTTTCTCAGGTACAACCGGAATGGAAGATGACCCTAAGAATGCTTAAAAACAAGTGTTGAACAAGTCTATTCACAACCCCCCTCCCTCTAGATATACTTATCGATCCTACAATAAAAAAAAATTGATTGTGAATAGTCTCAAATTTGGATGAATGGTATTTGAAATTATTCACATTCAATTTTGTATTTTTTTTTGTTTCTATAAGTGTAGCTTGAGTTAGGAGCTTTGAGATTGTACATCAAACATGGATGTATGTCTGCAAATATTCTTTTGAATACTATTTCTTATCACTCTGATCTCA